TGCGGCCGCCGTGGCGGCGTCGCGGCGCCGCTGCTCCTGCTCGGCGCTGAAGCGCTCTTGCGCGCTGGTTAGGTAGTAGCCGATCATCTCCTCGTGGAACTGGTGCCGGTGGCTGGTGAGCAGCAGCCCGGCGAAGATGAACTTGCGCTCGCCCTGCATGGCGGCGCGGAGGATGTTGAGGCTGAGCTTCACGTCCGTGCTGTACTTCCACGCGTCGCCCCGCGGCCCGCCGCCCTTGTCGGCCGGCGACGCGCCCGCCGCCTTGTCCGTGGGCGACGGCGTGGTCTTCTCCGACGGCGACGTGCTCGCCGACGCGCCCGACTCCTCCTTGCTGCCTTTGCGCGACTTGCTCTTCTTCTCCTTGGCGCGCTCCGCCGCGTCGCCGTTCTTGCCGTTGGCCGAGTTGGCGCGGCCCATCTTGCCGTGCACCAGGCCGCCCAGGCCGCCCATGTTCTTCTTGAGCTTGATGCCCAGCGTCTTGCTGAAACTGCCCAGCTTGTTGGCCACGGAGTCCGCGCGGGTCTTGTCCTTGTCCTTGCGCTGTTTCTCCTTTTCCTTGTCCTTCCCGTTCTTGCCGTTATTGCTGTTGGAGTTGCTGCACACCGAGTCGCGATCCGAGTCCAGCGAGTCGGCCAGGGACTGCACGTCCTCCCCCGCCGACGCCGTCGGGGACTCCGGCTGGGCCAGGGGAGCCTGGGGGAGGAGGGGAGGAAGGGCAAAGGGGGAACGGGGTTAGCTGTCCCCACGCGGGCCCGGGTAGTGTGTGGGTCTGTGCGTGGGAGCGGGGCGGTGGTGCGTGGCACGGGAGCCCGCGGGTCCCCGAGCCGGGCCGCGGGGCCTGCGGACGCCCGCCGAGCGCGCCGGCGCCGACCCTCGCCGGCAGCGCCATCTAGCGGCCGAGCCCGGGCTGCGCTCACTTGACCTCTGACTGCCCCCGGGAAGTGGAGGACTCGGAGCCCCGGGAAGCACGGGCCGAGCGCCCCCGGCGCCTCGGTACAGTGGAGAGGGCAGCAGGACCCGCCTCTGGCTTTCCACCCTTGGCCGTGCTGTCTGCGTGGCCCCACTTTGAGACTAAGGGATGGTGAGCCACTCCAGGGGTTCCGGTCTCCGTTTGGGAACATGGAGTGCTAAGTTGGGGGGCTCGGCGGGAAAACTGGAGGGGTGGGGTGGGGTGGGGTGAAGCCGCATCAGGTAAGGACCACGCCTGGGTGGAGGACACCCGCTGATGGGAACCAGCCAATCAGAAGAGGGCAAGGCCACGTGGAGCGCGGCCGGGGCCAATCAGCGCGGGGCGGAGGTGGGAGGCGGCCTCACCCCCTCGCGGGCCGAGATGCCTTCCTCCCCACCGCGGCGCGGCTGGGCCCGAGGGTCAGGCCGCCAGCCCGGCTTGTCAGACACCTCGAAGGAGCGCAGGAGGACAGTTTGCGGGGAGGAGGCCTGGGGAGGGGGTGGAGGGTAGCGGTGCTCCCTGGGGCCCGGCGGGAGCCTCGCCAGGGTGGGCTGCTGAGAACTCTCCATTTGGCCTGGCCAAGGGTCCGGCTCGCTGCAGCGCGGACCTGGGTCCAGCTGCTCTTAGATCCAGGGCTGCCCACCCCTCATGCCAGGGCCGGGAAGGAGCATCCTGGCACACCGGAGTGCTCCAGGCATTCAGTTGTATTCCAGTCCATTCCTCTGTGTGTGTGTGTGTGGTGCGCACGCGCGTGCGCACCGGGGGCTTGAACTCAGGGCCTAGGCGCTGTCCCTGAGCTTTTCTGGCTGAGCACTCTACCCCTTGGGAACCACAGTTCCACTCCCGGCTTTTTTTGGTGGCAAATTGGAGATCAGAGCCCCACAGGCTCCTCATGGACTTCGCTGCCTAGGCTGGCTTTGATCCTCCATCCTCAGCCCCCAAGGAGCTAGGATTACAGGTGTGAGCCACCAGTGCTCAGCCTTGGGCCACCTCAGAGGCCGGCTCACACCTGTGCCCTTGGCAGCTGCGGGTGGGAACCCCGTGGGGCCTGAAGGCTCCCGGGTGAGGGGGGCAGGGGGGAGGGGGAGGAGCAGTGCGCGCTCTGAGCAGGCGGCGGGGCCCAGACACCCCGGCCCTGGCGGCGCCCCGCCCCGCCGAAGCTGGTGTCTGGGGAGGGGATTATTTGCCTGCACGCTTTACAAATCCCTCTCCCTGGGAGTTCCCCGCGGAGATGACACACGCAACAGGTCGGTACTTAAAAACGTGAGTCACCCTCTGCGTGGGGTTGGGGAGCAGCGCCCACCCCGCAGGCGGCGGCCTCCTGGGGTAGGCAGGTGGGCTTCCCGCCTGCCCACGGGGAGCGGGCTGCCCGGGCCGGGCGGGGGCGGGCGGGGG